GGAGTTTCACCGTGTTAGCCAGGATGGTCTCGACCTCCTGACCTTGTGATCCGCCCGCCTCAGCCTCCCAAAGTGCTGGGATTACAGGTGTGAGCTACTGTGCCCGGCCTTTGCCTGAGATTTCTAATTTCCCAATCATCTAATCAGTGTACAAGGTAGGAAAGTATCTCCAGATTCTTAATGCAAATTTCTATTCCTTTAATAACATTCATTCTGTTGAAACAGCATCTGTATCGCTCAGGAACAATTTTAACTGTGTGGTTTGCATGGGTGTTCTGTAATAACATTCTTAATTGTTACACTAGTCCATACAAACTTACGTAGCTCCCCAAGATTCATAATCAAGAAACTGCTGTCATCTGGAGGACATTCCAACATTACAGTGAGCAGTCAATGAGCAGTTACACTAGGACAGCGGAGTCTTATACGCTGGGAACTTTATACTAGACTGCTAATCGGAGAAACCTGAAAGTTTTGCCAGTCCACAAAAGGTTAAAACAAATGGTTTTTCATTAACGATAAACAGCTGATAATAATGTTAATCTTGGTGCCAACAGAAGGGTTTAACTTTTCCAAAATGAAAAATTTAAATGATTACACAGTAGAAAGTAGTAGTTACAAATTTTTCCTTCTATGCCAGTTTAGGGTTTTCACTTACCCCTCCCAGATCCTTAATGTCCTTTTGCAGTTTTTCAGATATGGTGACAGAAGGTAAGTCAAGGTAAAATACTTTTCCCCAAAGTGGCTTATATTTGGATTTTTCTGGCCTGTTATCAGTTTTCAGAGATTTCAAAGATGGTCTGTTTTTTTCATTTTTGACTTGGATTCCACCTGCTATTAAAGATGTTTAGAATCAGATGTTTTACACAGACACTTGTACTGTTTTTAAAACATTTCATTATACAATATTACAAAATAAAAATCCTTACAATCCTACCAGTTTATTAGCACTGAAATGTATTTCTTTGTAGCACTACTTAGGATAGAGGCAAAATGCTCTATATATTTTCACAGACCGCATATTGTAAAATAATAGTTGACTCAGCAAGAAATATTCTTGTATTTATTCCTGAGGCACGGGACTATATAAAACTCCTTTGAAAGATTTTCTTCTTTAGGATGTAAACTCCATGGGGGTATTTAATACTCAACTACTTATTGAGCATCTGCCATTCTGCTGAACATTCAAAACTGGTGTTTAAACTTCATTTAGCGATGAAAGAATCCTGTTACCCAGAATAACCTAGTCAAGGGTTTCAGACTGCTCAAGTTTTAGTTTCATATAAAGTTTGTCTGCATGTTAACAACTAAATGGTCCATTTCACATACAATTTGTCTATGTATTAGGAATTTAACGGTCCATTACGAAGAACTAAACCTTTCATTTCATTATTTTCATTAAAAACAGATCTGAGATCCGAGCAACTGCTTTAAAAATTAATTTTTCAAACGCAACCTGTTCTTAAATTGGTATTTACTACACATATACAAATACTTGTACAAAAAACTTAGGTGGTGGAATGTTTCACCAAATAAAGTGATTGAAAATGGAAATGTGCTTTTGTTTCCCTGTTTGTAATGTTGAAACCAGCAATGGGATGTTTGAAATACAAATACTTTCCCCCAACTTATGAGGAAGGGAAAATAAACTTTCAAGGGTTAAGACCAAAAATCCACCCACAATCACTCAATCTAATACTGAAGCGAAAAGCGACGAGCGTGTCTGACTTTAAACTGAGGATGCTGTCCGTCGCCTCCAAGGGCCCGGGCGAAGGCGCAGCATCTGCGGAAGCCCGGCAGAAGAGAGCACGGCAGCCCCAGCGAGGTCCCGGATCTGCACATTGTTTGCTAGTTTTCAACCGAAGGCACGACCGGGAATGAATCTGGGACCGCCGCTGTAAAGGGCAGAGCGCTCGAGGGGCCGGGCCGGAATCCGTTCCTTCTTAGACAAAACACTGAAGGAGCCCCTTCCTTCAGACCCCAGAGGAGGGCGGTCAGAAAAAAAAAAGCGGAGGAACCGGCGGGAGAAGTCTGAAGAATCAATGGTGGAACCACGAGGGGAGGAAAGGATTAAAGGGACTACAGGCGGAGGAGGGGCTTCTTACCCTGGAAATGCCCTTTACTGTGGATCCTCATGGCTCCGGAGTTCATGGCAGTCGCCCGGTACCTACATGCTGGGTCCGGAGAAAGTGTCGCGCTGGGCGGCCACGAAAGCACGGCTTCCCCAGGCCTGTTGACAGGACGGCCGCCTCTCTCCTTCCGCCGGCTACGGCCTCCACGCAGCAGAGGTACCGCGTCTGCGGGTCGGGTTTCCGGGGCCGGATCCGGCTCCAAAACGCGGAGGAGGAAGGCGCAAAGCACAAACGAGTGGGTTGCGGCGGTTGAAGATTTGAAAACGCGTCACGCGGCCGCGGCGCCGATACGCGCGCCCCGCCCCGT